ATGATATTATATGTATATACACCACACCACACACACACACACACCCACAACACACCAACATATACATACACTATAATATATATATATATATATAATATATATAATTATATATATATATATATATATATACATAAATGTTATACACACACACACACAGATATATATATATATTTTCAACGTCTTGGTTATCTCTTGATATATTTTTTGTATAACGGACATTAAATATCAAAATACAAAATCTTAATGATAAAATAAGCCACGATATTCAAGACAGTCTGCAATCTATCCTTGTCTATTTGATAAAGAACTGAATTCAGATCCACATCCCGATGGTCCTTTTAAATATTATTCGCTTTTTTTTTAGTTTTGTTGATGATTTGGAAGGTTTTATTGAATCCTTGCATTTTTTGGGTCTTGTTTCTCGTTTTAAGGTTTTATTGTATTTTTTTATAATCACTTAACTTGATTTGTAATTGTTCTATGTACTTGATGAAATTGATGTAAGCATAAGGCATTGTATTAATTTTGTTTTATATTCCTGTAGTGGCTAAAGGCCACATTTATCAAATATGCTAAAGTATATTCGAAATCAAATTAAAGACTGCTTTTAATTTGATAATTTTCAATCTATAGATAATCTTCACGATCCTTGGAACTATTAGGAATCACTGGGAGGTTTACTGTGCACTTAGCATTAATATCCTTGAGTAATTCTTTCGCGAAAGAATCCCTCGGATCGCCAAGAACTACACATCCTGAAGTGTCGTTTCTCTGTTGGTTTCAGTATCTGTAGTGTGATCAGGGTTATAAATACAAGCACGAGATTACTCTCGCGTACATACAAACATCCAGCATCATTTCAGATTTATTTACCAGTGGAGAGGGAAGGACACCGAAATGAGTGGTGGTGAATTAAACATCCGATTTACATAAGTTTTTATTAATATTATACAGTACTTTTGTGTTATAAAGTCCCAGGAGGCCGAGGGGATCGCACCTCACCCCCCAGGACGAACACCCGCGTACTGGCAAGATTAGCTTGCAAATGCAAACATCTATATGCAATTGAATTATCAAATCACATTCACTATATAAGAAGTAACACTCAAAGTATGTTTTTACATTTTTTATTTGCATTTTTTAAAATATCCCACTAACGAGGAAGATCATAATATCAGCAAAAGGAACCAAATATTGCTAAACTGAGAGTACACACTGCTATGGCACCTACACAATAAAAACACTTTCATTCGTTTGAAATATTGAAGGCTGTCTACACACACCACGTGCCTAGGAGGGTCGTCACTACACTCCAGCTTTCCTTATTGGGATCATTAACTGCAGGTACAGAGGCGCCTACCGGGTTGAACCTTCTCCCTCCCCAGGTGTCTGTCTTTCTGTCTGTCTGTCTTTGCAAGTCTTTTAGTGCCCAGCCTATATACCATTGCACGTAGCTCATCAGTATCACCCTTCCAGTACACTGAATATAACATTATATGTGTTACAGTACTCGCACATTTGGGGAAAAGAAGTATTAACACTGAAGTGTAGAGGATTACTCATCCCTCCATTGAATACGTATCACTAATTGCTCTGAGCTTTGCAACGTTGGGCTTCAACATTGCAGTAAATGACGGTCATACTTTACATTAGCGTATAAATATTACAGACCATTTGCTCTCAACAAAACAATAGCAACGGGGAGCTTCACTTTCTCATACAAATGCAGGGTTTTGCATTGTCTGCAGCTTATGAACTACGAATCATGAGTATTACAAGATTGGCAAACATACCATACAAAGATGAGGCATCAGGGAGCTAGGGAAACAGTCCTAGTAAACCAATGTTATATCACAGTGCAGTGTGTAATGACTTTACTGAATGAGGCACAGTGGCATCTAAGCTGGCAATGTCTTCTAATATATTCTATGCAACAGTCTTCTCCTTAGAGCTGTGTTTAGATAAATCAGTAAACTGCATTCTGTTGCGTACACTTACCTCCGTGTTGAGTGAGATAAGGTACCCTTCAGAACACAGAATAATCAAGAAAGGGCACTGTGACAAACACTTATTTTTTATATATTTTTCTTTAGGAGTATGTACATTCCTAAACAATAAGTCATCTACAAACATAATATCTTAAACCACACAGAAAATACACACAGATGTGCTTAAAAAAGAAAGCAAATTCCCATTCATTTTCTTTCTTATTTTGATCTTTAGAAACTTGTATTCTGAATTATTAGTACTTGAATATCAAAAGGCAGAAGGTTGGAAGTCACGTAACACTGCAAGAGACAGCAATCATTCACAACCTGTTACAATGGGACCTTACAAGAGGGGCAAGACTGTGGAAGGTTGTAAAACTCTTGGAGCCATATTGAAGCTGAGGTTGGTTCACAGAAGAGAGAGGGGGGAAAAGGGACATAGAAAAACAAGTAAATAAGTAAAGATATAAACAAATATGGAGCCATACTGAAGCTCAAGTTGGTTCACAGAAGAGAGAGAGAAAAGGAGATAGGAAAATAAGTAAATAAGTAGAGATAAACACATAGGGGAATAGATAAAGGAATGCAATAGTGTTTCTGTTGGTTGAAATTTAGCCCTTTTTTCTTCTTGTCTATTTGGGTGTCACGAAGTTATTAAGACTAGATAGAAAACATTAAAATTAGTGTACTGTATTGCCTCTTTACACGACTGTGGTACATGGTCTCATGGACTCACTTGCAAGTATTTATAGCATATGTGTACACGTATCCTGTCCAACTGCAGGAGAGAGAGAGAGAGAGAGAGAGAGAGAGAGAGAGAGAGAGAGAGAGAGAGAGAGAGAGAGAGAGAGAGAGAGAGAGAGAGAGAGAGAGAGAGAGAGAGAACATGTAATCTATGGTAGAAAATCCGATTTATAGGAAAGGTTTAGTAAGTTTTCCAGACAGTTAATCATACTAAAGGTAATTGTTATATCCCCAGATCTTGACCAAAGAGAACTATAAACAATTTATCAAAAGCAAGATTTTAAAAGGATGCAGTTTTCGCTTTCAACCCATTCACTGACTAATTTGAATCTAATGTATGTATTTATCAACACTGAGCAAATAATAATAAAAAAAAACACTAAAAAAAAACGCAATTTTCGCCTTTACATCTAACAAAGATTTAGAGGAATATGAAATACTGAAGATGGACGTACCATACCATCTCACCTTCTTTAAAAAGGTACATGTTTTGTTTTAAACCGCCGAAAGATCAAATCCTATTTGAAAGTTAATATCTTCCGAGTGCGTTATGCACCCGAAAAGAAAGTGTCATCATGAATTCTTAAAAGTTATTAATCATTAGTCTAGAATTATAACCATTAGTTTACACATTCGACCCCCCAAAGCCTTACGAGATAGAGATAGATAGATAGATAGAGAGATAGAGATAGAGAGAAGAGAGAAGAGAGAGAGAGAGAGAGAGAGAGAGAGAGAGAGAGAGAGAAAGTGTGTGAGAGAAGATACACAGGTAGACTGATCATGATAAAGATAATGAGAGACAGGAGGGGAGTTGAAGTGATAGAAAAAATGAGATGATAATAACCATAAGAGAAATGAAGAAAGAGAAGTAAGAAAAAAAAAAAAACGAAAAAAAGGACCTAGAACCAAAAGAAAAGAAAAAAAATGAAGACTACATCAGAAGACAGTTGATGAAGACAGACTGCAAATGGCAGGGTGGCCAAGACAACACTTTCTGGACTGGATGTTCGAGGAAGGAGACCTAAATATAGACCTACGTTAGCAACCATGAAGCTCCCCACAGTCCCATTCGGTACAAAGGAGGGAAATTGTGAAGAAACTGACTAAATTCGCAGCACTTGGGTCAAACGCAGGGAGCAGCCCAACAATTATGAAACGAGTGTCACACAGAGAGTAGTTTTGAGCCTCCAAGCTAAAGAAGAAAAGAAAAAAGATGAAATGTATAAAATAACAAAACTAAAAAAAGTAAACTCTTAATGTTCTTTTTTTCTTCAAGAGTTCTCATAACTACCAACTGTGAGACACAGTGTAGAAAAAACACTATTATTACTGGTGTAAATGATAAAAACATATGCACTGATGTATGAAAGCAAATATTTAAATGCTGCAGCAATATGGCTCACATGAATATATATCATTATGTATATATATTATATATACATAATATATATATATTATATATATATATTATATATATATATATATTATATATATATATATATATATATTATATATATGTGTGTGTGTGTGTGTGTGTGTTTGTTGTGTGTGTGTGTGTGTGTGTGTTGTGTGTGTGTGTGTGTGTGTGTGTGTGTGTGTGTGTGTGTGTGTGTGTGTGTGTGTGTGTGTGTGTGTGTGTGTGTGTGTGTGTGTGTGTGTGTGTGTGTGCGTGTGCATAAACGACCGTCTAGTCTCTTCTCTAAGCCAAATAGAAAGGCAGTGTAAATCACCAACTGATCTACTGGAAGCAGTTTATAAGATCATTAAATTTGCTTGATTATTATTTTTTTCAGACTAAATTTTCCCTGCTAACAATCCACGGGTTATCTGAATGTGTTACTCATTACGATTCATGTTTTACGATGAAAGATTCAAGTGCCTCAGAACCGTCGTGTTTCTCAGTGGAGTATTTTGAAAACGATAAAAATAATCCTTTATTGCATTGGTTATATTGCACTGAAGCAAAAATTAAAATTCCATAAAGATATATATATATATTTTTTTTCTCTTATAATGTGTGGATATCTAAATATTATCATTCTTATCAAAACATTTTTTTTCTTTTAATTAATCTGTGAGTCAATTAGGATTTCAATCCGGCTACCATAGATTCACAACACATCATACACCATGATCACAGGAGCCCAAGGACAAAAAGGCCCAAGAAATTCCCAGACAACCAAGGATGTGTCCCTCCCTGCACTCTGTCTCGAACCAGCTTTTATCTCAGACATTTGCTACAGTGGAAACGACTGTGTCGTGGCCTGCTTCCAGAGGATCCAGGGATCATGATTTTTACAGTGAATTTTGCATGCCTAGAAATAATCTCAGATACATTTTAGAAAAGCCTTCTCGCACAGGAACAAGTAACTACAAGTGAGATGCATCTGGCAGCTACAGTAGGCTGGTAAATAACTACAGTTTCTATTGCCGAGACACTTGTGTGTTGTAAAGTTTGGGCAGTGATTCCAACAACCAATAACTTTGTTATCTGGGTAAATGCATTGCAACATACATGATTCTGGGCTCATATGCCAAGTAACTATCATGAGTAATACGGCCCCTTAGAAATAAGAAGCCTGACATCCTTGTCAGCAAAAGAGGCAGGGTACCTCGCCTTTCTACTGCCTGAAGCTGACACTTTTCCCTCGGCTAGGTATCGAGTCCCTGCATCTCCGGTCTTCCGTGCTTTCCAGTCTCGAAATTGGTTCTCTTGTGATTTGGAATTCGTGCTTGATATCCACGTCACTGTACAAACTTCGTTAACGATGTCACAGAGCCAACTTGACGCCACTGATTATGGTCCGGGCGCAGCAACGCCATCACTGAAAACCGATTTCCAAATACACGCTCCTCCCCAACTATAGTCGACCGGTCTCTGCATTTATCTCGGGGGTAAGCTACGACAAAGCTTGGTATCTGACAAGCTATCAGTTACAGATTAGCACAGCTCATAAAGTTACCAAATGCAAATCAGTGTTCTTCAATCGTAACAGAAAATTTCACAGTACTTCTTCAGCGAGAATAGGTTTCCATCCATTCTACAACACGTAGTTCTGCTCACGGTCCCTCTCCAGCAGGAGGGCACGCCAGGCCCTCCTCCGGCGAGAAGGAACAGCCACAGTCCTTCTCTGTGAGGAAGGGGCGTCACCGTCTCTCTCCAATGGGAATGGATACTCACAGTCCTTCTCCAGCGGGAAGGCGCCAAGCTGCCTGCCGGCTCGACAGGGTTCGGGGCCCTGGAAGGCTCAGCTTGGGCGCGTGCCTTCGGAAAGGCCCTTGGGACACACTCCTCCTGCAACGCAAGTTCTGAGCCGCAGGGCATCCTGAACAGCGAAGATTCCTTGGCGGACTGACACGTTTTCTCGGGGCGTGACCTTGCCTGGGGTGCTACATGAGGGAGCAGAAGGCCAGGCCGTCTGTGAGGACCTCCTGCATCAGCACCTGCGTCTCCATGGGGAAGGCGCCGCCGTCGTTCATGGCGTCGTCGTAGTAGTAACTGTAGTAAAGACCCTGTGGAGAGGACGCGTTAGGGGGGAGAGGGGGGCCTGGAGGCCGGAAGTTGTGGACGCAGGCGCTGAAGATTTATGAATCAACGTATGTATAGTATATATAATATATAATCAATATATATATATATATATATATACGGATATATATATAATATAATATATATATATATATATTATATATAAATAATATATATATATATACAATATGTACACCACACATACACACACACACACACACACACACCACACACACACACCAACACATATATACATATACATATATATATATATATGTATTATGTAAATGTATATTATATACATATACATTTATATATATATATATATAAATGTAATGTGTGTTGTGTGTGTGTTGTGTGTATTGTGAGAGAGACATAATACATGAAGTTAAAGAAAAATGAAAGAATTTACTGTAATGTAACTAAAAACAGTCTGTTTCCAAATTCCTCATAAGCCTGGTCAGCTCCTACTGTTTTTTATGCACCTCAAACGTTAGTTCATAATATAGTGCATTTTCACCGTCTTTTTAACCACTAACCTTCGCAAAAGCATGAAATTCTCTAATCTAGTATCCAGTGTTGTTTTTAGATTAACATGTGTATGTATGTCATCAAAATCATCACTTGTCATTGTCTTTTAGTACAGGCAATTAACATTATATTCGAAAAGTTATGGATATTGTTTTATCAAATGCTGTCAGTTACTGGGTATTCAATCTATATTGTCATATTTTGTTTTTGCAATTGCGTTGCATGATATGCATGTTGCAAGTTACCTTATCAATTATCTGTGAATGGCTTATTGCGGCTATTAAGGTCCAGGAAAGTCACTGGTAGATTCACCCCTCAATAGTGGCCAATGGAAACAGGACAATGGGAACTAATGCTTAGAGACAATTCTTTTTTCAAGTTAGAAACGAAGGAAGAATATCAGCGATTAAACAATTATTTGTGGATGTATTCCTTGCTGACTAAGTATTAAGATTACAGTCAAAAGTTAGTCTGTCTGTCTCTCTCTCCCTCGCCATCTAATCTCTTGATTACACAGTGGCCAGTACCTTTAAAGATTATATAAAATTTGATCTTGTGTGCTGTCAGCCTCAACTATACATTTCATATTCTTGATTTTGTTTCGGCTTTATTGCCTCTTTGTTTAGAGATTTAGAGGAAATTTCCGTCCGTATCTACACTGATGTGGTCAGAGTATCTGCGTCTCAGTCAAATGGTCTGTGAGTTTCGCCTTGGATGACCGTCTATGCTGTACTAATTTATATACAGTAAACCATTGTTTAATTTCCCCCAAGAGCAGATGAGGCTTCGCGACGAAGACACCGACGCAGCTCTCACCTGACACTTAGCACAGCCACAGTACTGGGCGAGCTGCAGCTCCCTCAGCCGTTGTCGCTCCAAGTCCCTCTCGAGCTGGGCCTCCCGCTCGGCCTCGCGTTGAGCCTGGCGCTGGGCCTCGAGCTGGGCTTCTCGCTGAGCCTCGAGGACAGCTGCCTGCTCCTCGAGGACGCGGGATGTGCGAGAAGAGAGAGTTGCCACCGACAGCATGGCGACCGAGGAGTAATCTGTGGAATAAGGTACTGGCTGAGAAGTGTGGAAGTGTATTTACTTGGCAATTATTGCCAAGCGGATGCGGATGATACTACGTCTTACTTTTCCGATAGTCCGGGGATTTATTCTTCTATATCATAACTTTGATTTTGAAAATCCGCTGCAAAGTTTTATGGAAATGATAATAGACATAGAAAGATGATGCATTCGTGTGAGTACTTGATTTCACATTTGCGTTTCTGATAATTCGTTCGGAGTAAATACCAAAGCATTTAGAGCAAAGGCGTAGCTAGGACTTTAGACAGAAGGTGGTTAGGCTCCCAGAGCTTTCAGAGAAGGGGGCTGACCTCTCCCTCTCACGCTTCGCAAGACTGAAGTGTTTGCATTTGTCATTCACCAGTGATTAACATACAGTAGTCAGTTGCCGAACTTTTTATACTTATAATTCCCGACTCTTCAGGGGCGCTCTCCTAGCTACTCGATATAGTCTAAATAAAAAAAACAAAACGAAAAAATCAGCACATCTCCCCTGGTGGCCCACGCTGGAAAAACATTCATCAAATCCAAACATCGAGAAACCAAACTAATCTGACATCGTAAACCTTTTGTTTGATTTGGACCTGTTGTAAACTCAGAATATGATGGTCAGGATGTCGAATTATGTCGATCCATGTATATAGAGTGTAATATATGTGTGTGTTTGTACATTGCAAGAGGTAATAACTAACAACGTAAAATACACAGCCATCTCAATATTTTTGTTCAAGGAATCACAACCAATTCGAGGCATACAAAAGTTGCTTAAAGTGAGTAATAAGTAATTATTCCGATTAGGTGCCTCGATAAATTTATCTAATATTCTAATCTTTATATTCGTAATCAAGCTTTTAGATTAAGGAAATCGATTCGCCAGTTTAGTGTTTATTAAAAGGAAACCCCGCATCAGGAGAAAACAAACCCAAACATATATAAATGTAGTAAATCAACAACACAAAATTCATAAAAGTACCGCTAAAAATCCATACCTGGTGACGTAATACTGGGGGTGGTGATGGTGTGTGTTGGGGTGGGCGCGGGTGGAGGCTGCGGCTCACGTCGTGTTCCAGACACGTTTACTGTAGCCATACTGTTAGCTAATGCCTCCTCATAGCTTGGGGGCAGCTGGTAGTAGGCCTGGAAGAAAAGGATTTGATTATAATTGCGGTTGAAAAGCGTTTTTTATGTGAATATATATATATATATATATATATATATATATATATATATATATATAATATATATATATATATATATATATATATTATATATATATACTAGTCTACCACTTCTTTATGATTTGATTTATTATTATTTGATTATTAGTAGTCCTGGAAGGGAATATAAGGTACCGGGCACCAAAATGGTTTAGGCCTAAGCAAAGCTATTCTTTTGTACCTTTCCTGGTGACGAAATTTGCTGAAATCTTATATGGTTATGAGATTCTTGAGACTATGATCCAAAACAGTCCGGTAAGAACGGAGAGAAAGACAAAGAAATATCTTGCAATTATAAAATTTCCGTATACCTTTCAATGTTTAATTTTGCTATCAAAGCGGAATATAAAATCGAAGATAACTACACACATCACAAGAAAAATATTCTGAAAAGTAAATTTGGTTTGATGCCACACAATGACCTTTTGTGCCTGGAAAAGTGCAACAAACAAGCCCATTTCACCTTCTATCCCACCAGTGCAGCAGACAAATCAATCTCAATTGGTTTTACGCAACAGACTAGGCAACTGGACCGGGTCTCCTGCAACAAACTAACAAATTACACCTGTCACCTAGACTGGTACAACGAGCAAGCCTATTCTTCTGATTTTGTGCAACCAGATCGTTCTATTCACTAACCCTTTCACCTAGACCTTTGCAGCAAACGAAGTTATTTCACCTTGCATTGCGCAACAGACCAACCTGCCCCTAAACGACAGCCTACCCTACCTCACTTGCTTAGGCCTATTTAAACCTACTTTACTTACTATTCGACCTGCCTTACCTGATCGTGTACGACCTGCCTAAACCAACCTTAAACCTGCCTTCCTGGTTCTTCTGCAAGGTGCTTAAATCTATCTTAATCTGCGTTCTCTGGCCTGAACCTTAACCTACCTTCACCTGTCTTGATTCTATACGGCCTACCTGGCCCTACATCAACCTTGACCTACTTAAACCTTAGCCTACCTAAATCTACCTAGCCTTACCCTACCTAAACCTCCCTTAGCCCACCTAAAACTTCTTTAACCTATATAAACCTTCCTTAACCTACATAAACCTTAAAACCTATATGAACCTCGACCTTTACCCACTTAAAATTCCTTTAACCAACCTAAACCTGAACCTATCTAACCCCCCCAACCTACCTAAACCTATCTACCCCCCCCCCAACCTACCTAAACTTCCCTTAAACTACCTAACCCCCTTAACCTTAACCTCCCTAAACCCTAGCCTACCTAAACCTCCTTAAACCTTACCCTGACCTCCCTTACCTGATCTTGTGCGACCTTATATGGCGGCGGCGGGGTCACGACCTGCGATGCCCTCGATGCCCCGGCGGAGCCCTCGCTCTCCGCCCGCCTGACGGGGGCGCTGCTGCCACGCCCTCGAGTCGCCTCACGCCCGCCCTCGCGGCCTTGGCTCCATACCCACGAGTAGGGAGGGGGGTCTGTCGATGAAGGGGGGGGGTCAGGTATTTGTTATGGGTACATTTTTATTTTTCATTTATTTATTTATTTTCTCTTTAATTTTAATCGTCATTATTTTTTTCTGAATTCAAGGTTTGATAATGAGGTCATCACCATTATTACTGTCAGAATTTATCAATTGATTGCAATTCATTTCCTCATCAAAGCTAAGGTACATATAACAAAGAAGCTCCTCTTCCACTAAGCCTATTGAGCCTTAAAATGAAATGGACTTTTTTTCCCAGTGGAAAAGATATCAATGGTAAAGAACTCTTAGTTATTATACATTAAAGAGGGACATTTTGGTTTTACTCCTGGTAAATATAGCAATATTGAGTAAATTAAGCAAATAATTATGTATCTAGCTATATCTGATATCTCACGGTGCTCTCTCATTGGCTAAACATAATGACATCATTAGCTCCGCCGCTTTGTTGGCGTCAACAATTAGTGAGATGTTTTACAGTAAATGTTATTTCAGTGTATTATCTGTACCATCAGTGGTAAAAGGCGATCGAAAACGGAACCAAGAAAAATAGAGTAAGATATTGAATATTTGGAATGATTAAAGGTGATGAGGCGTAGGTCAGAAGTTGCCAGCTAGGATTAACACCAAGATGGAGTGGTCATACCTGTGTAACGATACCTTGATTAAAGCAAATGAGTGTTTAAATTGACATGTATACTTTCATGTACTAATCAAGCTCTTGAAAGGGGGTGTACGTGTATATGCGTGTGGTGTTCGCTTGCATGTCAGTATGTGTACATTTTTCGTTCTCTTGCAAACACATCCTTACATACCAGCTGCCAGCATACCACAAATAAACACATACACACACAAACAAACAACACACACACAAACAAACAAACTCACGAATCAACTCAAAACAACAAACAAAACACGCAAGCCAACATAATCATAAGTCCCATCATGGCCATTGAAAATATCAGAGCACTGGAGACCCGACCATGTTTCCCGTTTTCTTCGAGCGCAACCGGGCGTGAAAGAGAATGTACTGTATATTACACGCTTCGGAAAATCTTGTACAAGAAGCCGCGTCGATTTGTACAAGTTGGTTTGTACAATAAGATAGCCGTTCTTGGACAAGCTTTTGTGAAGGTTTATTGCCTGGAAGAAAATATTGGTTCTTTGACAGAGAGAGAGAGAGAGAGAGAGAGAGAGAGAGAGAGAGAGAGAGAGAGAGAGAGAGAGAGAGAGAGAGAGAGAGAGAGAGAGAGAGAGAGAGAGACAGACAGAGACAGACAGAGACAGAAGAGAGAGAGAGAGAGAGAGAGAGAGAGAGAGGAGAGAGAGAGAGAGAGAGAGAGAGAGAGAGAGAGAGAGAGAGAGAGAGAGAGAGAGAGAGAGAAACACTTATTTTTCTGATTTTCATTATAGTTGATTTGCATGAACGTATTAAGAATTGAGGATATATTTTAAGGTTGGTGATGCCTTTAGTAACTGACAATTGGGAATAATTTGAAGGACAATGATGCTATTCGGACAGTCATTATTAACTCTCAGGTGTATCTGCGTCTCGATAGTTTGTGTATGACGGTATTATTGCTGCTATTATCATTATTGTTATATATTTTATTATTATTAATGTTATTGTTGTTATTATCATTATCAATATTGTTGTTGTTGTTATTATTGTTATTATCCTCACGGCCACTCTTCCCCTTCTCTCCCTCTCCCTCACTCTCCTCTTCTTTCTTCATTCCTCTATTTGCCCAATTCCCTCCCCTACTCTCACCCCCTCTTCTCTATCTCCTTACTTCGTCTCCTCCTCTCCCTACCTTTCCCTCTCCTTCCTTTTCCCTTCCACACCTCCCTTTCCACCTCTTCCTCTCTTTCGCCCCCTATAGATCGCCCCGCCCCCCTCCTCACCCCACCCTCTCCCCCCTTCCTCTTTTCGTCCCCTGTCTAACCCCTTCCATTCCCTGCTTTACTCTCTCTTCTCCCCCACTTTCGCCCCCTTCGCCCTCCTCCTCTCTTTCTCTTTTCCCTTCGTCTACCCTCCCCATCTCCCTTCTTCGCCCCTCACTTCTCCCCACTTTTCACCCCCCTCGCTAACTCTCCTTCCATGTCCGTCCTTCGTCTCCCTACTTCTCCCCCTTTCCTTCCTCCCTCCGTCACCTCTTCACCTCTCCCCTTTTACCCTCTCCTTCGCTTCCTAACCCCCCTTCTACCACCTCGACTTCGCCCTCTCATCCCTCCCCTCTTTCCACCCCCCTTCCTTCGCCCCCCCAAACCCCCCCCCCTTTTTAGTAATTGTGAAAGAGTTTTTCATTGTCGAAGGTCATGGGATATTTTCTTTTACCGCCAGTCTTTAAAACGACCCTCGCGCTCGTAAAGTTAGTGTAGATTTGCCTTTGTTCGAATGAAATGAGGCTGAATAACGCTGAATTAAAAAAGAAAGACGAACGAAAAAAGAAAAAAAAACAAGAGGAGAGAAAGTTCTTGCTGGCTGGATTTTCACAAAGAATTTTTGATTCTCGATTTCTCGCTCTTCCTTCGGTGTTTCTTTGTATTTTTTGTGTTTCTCTGTTTGCTTGTCCAATCGTGTGCCTGTCTGTTTTTTTTCTGTCTGACTGTCTCCCTCCCTCCCTCCCCCTCCTCCTCTCCTCTCTTCTCTCTCTCTCTCTCTCTCTCTCTCTCTCTCTCTCTCTCTCTCTCTCTCTCTCTCTCTCTCTCTCTCTCTCTCTCTCTCTCTCTCTCTCTCTCTCTCTCTCTCCCTCTCTCTCTCTCTCTCTCTCTCTCTCTCTATCTCTCTCTCTCTCTCTCTTCTCTCTCTCTCTCTCTCTCTCTCTCTCTCTCTCTTCTCTCTCTCTCTCTCTCTCTCTCTCTCTCTCGCTCTCTCTCTCTCTCTCTCTCCTCTCTCACTCTCTTGTTTACCATTAATATTCTGGACAAAATAGTAAGTTCAGGGTGACGTCACTTCAACGCAGCTGGCTGTTCACATGGGTAAGGGGGGGGGGGGGAGGGGGGCTCACTGAAACTTATTTTCCTTTCTGAAATTTCCTTTTCGTTTTATTTTCTAATTGGTTTAAATTATTAATGAAAAAAGAAAAAAAAATCCTTTGAGTTTGAATTTTTTTTTTCTCTTTTTGGTTTTCGTTTTATTCTCGTTTTTTCCGTTTTTCTCCCATATTTGTTTCCGATTCTTTCTCTCCTCTTCTGGATTTTGTTTCAGTCTATTCTCTTTTTGTTGCTTTCCCTTCCGTCATCCCTTTTCCTTTGCCCTCTTCTCTCGCATCTACCCCACCCCCTTCCTCCCTGCTCCTCCACCCTCTCTTCTTCCCTCCCCTCTTCCACTCTTTACCAACCCCCTCTCCCCTTCCCTCTTCCTCTCTTCCTCCCACTGATCCCCCCTCTTTTTTTCTCTCCTCCTCCTCTCTCTTCCCCTTCCTCCCTCCTTTCCCCTCCCACCCCTCTTGCCACT